CGGACAAGGCAAGGTATGACAAAATAATTTATAATTTATCAAGGGTTCATGAAGGAAGGGGGAGCGGAGAGGGAGGGGAAAAATGAGGAACTGATGCCAGGGGCTTAGGTGGAGAGCAAATGTTTTGAGAATGATGAGGGCAATGAATGTACAAATGTGCTTTTACACAATTGATGTATATATGGACTGTGATAAGAGTTGTATGAATCCGTAATAAAACAATTAAAAAAAAGTATTGAGCATTTGCAGACAGGTGTTGAATGTGGTCAGAGGGCCTAGTGAGAGAGTATGGAATGAGGCTAATTATGGGGTCTGAGGCATATAAAAGAGGGATAGGAAACTCAAGAGGTGGAGAGTCCCGATAATGCATCGGTTCTCAACCTTTGGGCACCACCCCTTTGGGGGTCGAGCGACCCTTTCACAGGGGTCGCCCAATTCATAACAGTAGCAAAATTACAGTTAAGAAGTAGCAACAAAAATAATTTATGATTGGGGGTCACCACAACATGAAGAACTATATTCAAAGGTCACGGCATTAGGAAGGTTGAGAACCACTGCTCTAACATGTTAGACTGGGGGGTAAGCCTGGGGTGAAATTACCTCAAAATAACAAGCTCCTAGGAAAGAAAGCCAAGATAAATCAAGCGCACTGCCATAGAATGGACCGTGACAGAGCAGCGGGACAGAACCGCCCCACATGGTTTCCAAGGCTTAGTCTGTACAGAAGCAGTTTGTCTCAGCTCCCTCCCCAGGGGCAGCAGGTGGGTTGCACTTAGCAGCAAGAACTTAACCACTGTGTTCCCAAATGTCCCTTTTGTCCCAGGTAGAAAGTTATTGTTTATTTTAAGTGCAGAATAGTATGTCAAACTATAAATATATTATTCGATGTATACATGCTTATAAGTGTATTAAAAATAGTCATGAAAGACTAACAAGGGACTGAAATGGAACTGGGTGGTTCCAGGTCCCTCTGTGAGGTGAAGCAGGGACCTGAGCAAGCTCATCTATGCCACTGTTTATCATTTATAATCCTGGTAGTATAAACACTCAAGAAAACATGTAACTGTGACATATCATGGGAAGGCAAACTGTGACTTTGAAAGATCGTTCCCAGATCCAAAAGAAAATGAATCCCACCTTAGCATGAGATGAATGATCTCAAACTCCTCTCTTAAAAGATGAAGAAAATGTTTTAACTACTAAGTTGTATGTGGTACTAAATACAAACCTTGTATGGTGAAGGTTCAATTCTTTCCCCGAATAAAACTTGACCAAGATTTTCAGATGGGCGTTTACCTTCTGATGCTTGGCAAAAGTCAAACCTAGTGGAAGAATCGATAAAAGGAAACAATGAGATGTCAAATACCTAGCATATCTTGAGAACACATTATATAGTGATCATTCAGCAGTGCTAATAGATAAGAAATATACTCACACTCCAAGTTCTATGTACACTTACTCAGAACAATGCCCTGAAAATTATGCCTTAGAATATGCTGATTTCTGAATATTACTCTTAAATAAAGTTATCGCTACCAGGTCAACATAAGCTCATGGCAACCCGACAGACAGCAGATAGCGTTTCTAAGGCTGTAATCTTTACGGAAGCACATTTTCACATCTTTTTCTCAAAGGGCAGTTGATGGATTTAAACTGCTGACCTTTCTGTTAGCAGCTGAGCACTTAACCACTATGCTATCAGGGCTCCTTATAATACTCTTAACCCATTATAATTTGCTTTTATTCATTCCAATGAAAAAATAATATATCTTTATTCATCAAGCAAATTATGCACAATGTATTTCCTTTCAGTCAAATCCTTTTAACCCAAAACTTTACTTAAAAATTCTATTTCAGGAAGATGTGTCCAGTTTACCTGGGGTTGGGCATCATCCTGACACACTGACCAATGCACCTCAACATGAGAAGCAAGGCTGGACAGTTATTTGAGCGCAGACGCTGGGAAGAAGCATCCATATTCATTCCATTGCTCCGTGTGTTCTAATTCTTTTATTAATACTGTTGTTAGCTGTGATCGAGCCAATTCCAACTCATGGAGATCTCCTGTGTGCAGAGTAGAACTGCTCCATAGGCTTTTCAAGGTGGTAACCTTTCCAAAGCAGATCCTAAAAGCTTCTGGGTGGGTTTGAACCACCAAACTCTTGGACTACAGTTGAATGTTTAACCATTTGTACTACTCAGCTGCCTCCTGGTATTAAGCAGATTTTTATAATGTTGTTAAATGTTGTAGCTAAATTGTGGAATAAAGTACAATTCTGTGTTCACCTTGAGTGACCTGGGGGATATTATGTTTGAGGCCAGTACAGTGATGTCAACAGGTTAGTGAGATGCTCAAGTGATTAAATCAGACTGGGGCTGTGGGGTCACTATGGGTTGAAATTGACTCAATGACAGTGAATTTTTTTGTTTGTTTAGTGGCTAAAGAAAAGCAAAACAACTACGACTAGGGAATCCCCGAATGAAGACTCTTCATCTATTTTGCGTAAGTGATACAATGAATTTTCATAAGACTATCCACAAAGGTTTACAAACAGAAGTGTTGTTTTATTTTAATAAACAAACAAAAACTAGAAAAAATGTGGACATCTCCAATAGTAAATTATGGTCAATTCATACATGAGTTTTATACTCTCAAACAAATTTATTAAGGATATGGTTCTTATCAAATATTCTTTTTTGTGTGTGCTTTTGCTGCAGTAATGTATTTTTTCTTTTAAAACTTTTAGTTACTAGAGAAAATTGAAAGCTGAGAAAGAAAAAGTACAAATCAAATATAAAAATATGAGCTTACTTTGGTTTAACATACCTTGGTGGTACTGTGGGATAAACACTGGGCTATTCTAACTTCAAGGTTGATGGTTCAAAGCCACTAGCTCCTCTAAATTATAAAAATGAAGCTGCCTGCTCTCACAAAGACTTCGTTCTGCCTGTTAAAGAGTCACTTAATAGAGTTAAAATCAGCTCAATGGCAGTGTGTTTTCTGGTCGGTTTTAAACAAAAATACATAAATGTGTGTAAGTATGTTAGCTGATTCAGAGAGAAATAAACAGACATCAAAGTAAGGGGATTTTGGGGGATTAATTACATGGAACATAAAAATTTTAGTTAAAATTTTGCTCTTTATTTAATTAAAAATGTTATGGAAAATAAAATAGTGTATGTATTCTGGTAAAAAAAGAAATCTACAGTTTTAGTTGGTACTCCTATATTCTCAAAGCAACATAAAAATGAACATTTTAACCCTACTTTGAAAGTAAAGGCATTTACCGTACATACTCGAGTATAAGCCACGTCAAATATCCGGCGAGGCACCTAATTTTACCACAAAAAACTGCATTAAAAGTGTGCTGAAAAACTCGGCTTAAACGAGTATAGATGATACTTGATAGCAGCTAGTTATTTGACTGTTTGGAAGTAAAAATGTTCTTAGACTCTACAGTTTCAAAGGAGCCGTGGTGGTGTCGGGGACTAAGTGTTGACAAGCTGCTCTGTGGGAGAAGAAAGAAGCTCTCTGGCCCTGTAACTCAAAGGAGCAGTTCTACTTTGTCCAAGGTCAAAATGAGTTTGAATTGGCTTGACTGCACGGAGTTTGATTAGTTTTAAATGCATATCGAGTTATCTGTAAATGAGGAGAAAATAAGGATTTAAGTGCATACAATTCTGATGTGTCCATGTGGAATTTTACATAGGACTTACGATGTATACTCATAAGGAAGCACAGATTCCATTGAGTCGAGTCTGTTCACAAACAGTTCTATTTCGGCCTAAAATGAGAAACACAGAATTAGAAAGGTAACCAACGATAGTACAAGATTCAAGCCATGCTTTTAGAATGAAAAAGAATGTGACGTGTGAAATATAGTATGCCCAAAGGTCCTAGTTATCCAGTGCTGCTATAACAGAAACACCGTATGTGGGCGACTTTATTTTCTCAGTTTATAGAGGCGAGCAGTCTGAAGTCAGGGAAAGCTTTCTCTCCCTGTCTGATCTGGAAGATGACCCTGGCCTTCCTAGAGTGTCCGGCGATCTTCACATGAAGCTTGGCATCTCTTTCCTTCTTGTCTAATCTCTCAAAATACACACCACACTAATCCTGTTTCATTAACATAACAAAGACCACCCATTCCCAAAAGGGTTTATAACCACCGCCATAGAATTTAGGAGCTCGAACACACAATTTGTAATACCAATCCAGCTAAAACATTTTCTCTCATAAAACCACTTGCTGAGTGGATTTCTTAAAAAGTTTTATTGGCACTTCATCTACATGTCATGCAATTCAGTCATATCAAGAAGATTCTATATTCACTGCTGAGTGGACTTATATGCATTGAAAAAGAGTCCAAGCAGTGGGTTACGTAGTGGGTTGCTAACTGCATGGCCAGCATGGGAGAGAGATGAGGCGCTCCACTCCAGTACGGCTTCCAGTCTTGGAGACCCATAGGGGCAGTTCTACCCAGTCCTGTAAGGTTGCTATCAGTTGGAATTGACTTGATGGCAGAAGAATTTATGTAAAAATAATGTATCATTGTGAATGTCACCAATATTTTCAAGCTCTAAAAATTTCCAAAGCTTTAACATATTTTAACTAAAAGCATTCATTAGAATAAAATGCTTTAGAAAGATTTTTCCCAAATAAATATTTCATTCTGAAGTAAAAAATTTTACAATTAAAAAAATATTCTCACAGTAATCACAAAATGCTGTCAAGTTGCTAAGAAACTTCTAGATCAGCTGCAATAGAAATCTCATGTACATGTCCACTCGTAAGCAGATAGATGACGTGGCTTAACCTTGTGTGCCACGCAGTTGATTCCAACCAACAGAGTTGGTTATCTAGCTGTAATCTTTCTAGGCGCAGACCAGCAGGATCTCTTCTCCCAGGGAGCTGGGGGTGGGCTCAATTACAGTTTCCAGCAGAGTGCTTAATCAACTGCAACCTCCTAGGTCTCTCTTTAAAGGATTGCTTTGGTGAGTCTGAAAACTCATGAGGAAACTACACAATGACTAACACAAGTTCAATAATATAAGAGGGGAGAAAAATTATATTAATTTCATAGTAGATAGGAACAAATATAAAGCTACTACTTTCCTACTGAAGGAAGTCCTAATGGCATAGTAGATTATGTGTTCAGTTGCTAACTGCAAAGTCAGCCACCCTTTGGGGGAAAAGATGAAGCTTTCTGCTCCTGTAACATTTATAGTCTCAGAAAACAACAGGACCGTTCTACTCGGTCCTACAGGTTGCTATTGGCCAGGTCTAAGTTTTTTTCTGGACTTTCCCATTGACACTCCAAAACTTCTCCCAAGTGTAACATTCATGCAGTTAACTCCGTCTCAACAGGGGCTCATTACTATTCATGATATAATTCCAGCAAACAATTTGTGTCCCAAAGTGCTTTTGGTGCTATCCAAAAATAATGAAACAGAAACTGCTCACCTTGGAATAAATAAGTTTTAGATTAGAGCTCTACAACTGCCTTAGTCTCTCATAAAGCCATATTTGGAATTTTGATCTCGCTATCTAGCAGGGGCAGTATTCCTACATACTTGCTAATATACCCCCCAAAGCAAGATGCTCAATATTCAATGAAAATAAACTGCACTGTCAAATATGCAGGCAGTGGCTGCACAAGGCGATTACTGCTGCTGCTGGTTGTCCACTCACGGTGACATGTGGAGTCAAAAACCCCACAGGGTTTTCAAGTTGGTGGATTTTCTTGTGACCCTGCCCAATGCTCCGATCTTTCTTAAAAGGTTTAACACCAAGAATCACCGAATTCAAAGTTTAGACTCCAATACTTACATAAGTAAAAATAACATTGGTACCCTTCATTAGCCTTATTAACATAGCATAAGAGGCCCCGGGGCAGCACATCTCATAAATTAACATTTATCTGTTTCCTATATTATTTAACTGCTAGCTAAAGAGTTCACCATTTCAAAAACATATCTTTTTCTTTAAATACACTTTTCTAGCTTGGCTATGACACAATTAATTTATTACTTTTTGCTTTCTCAAATAACTTGTGGAGATACACTGCCATTGGCCACATATTACAGGTCTCCCCTATGATCAGAAAGTAAGGCATGCCTTTGAAGCCAAAAGGATATAGAGTAAGGAAGTGATTCTCATTCATTTATCTGGAGTTTTTAGCATTCTCAGACTCAAGAAGTAACCTACCAACTCATACTAAATAACATAAAGCCCAAAATTACGCTAGCAGATTGTGTTCACAGACACAGTTCAAAGTCATGGCAGCTTGATGCCGGAAGTAGTTTTCCTGGAAGGAGCTTGGTGGCCACACTCAGGGGGTACACTGCCTCTGTAAAGGCTGGCTGCAAAACAAACACGGAACCCTATGTTCCACTTTTTGCCTTTTTTTGGTTAAAAGTAAAATCCTGTACTTTCTGCTTGTGAAAAGAGAAACTGCGGTGAAGTGAAATTTCTTAATACAGCTCTTCTATCCATGCCTCTGTCACTCCCATCAAATGAATGGGTGGGACTACACTATAGGGCATGTGTAACACTACTATACGGGATTGGCCAGTTTTAGTTATCACACCCCTGGCTATAAAGATGAACCATCTTTGAAGCGTGAGCAGAGAGAGGAATCCCAGGACCACTGAGAGAAGAGGCCCCAGGGCAGCACATTTTAGATCTCTATCTGAAGTGGTGAAGGCTGAGACCAGAGACACCCGACACTGAGGCAAGGAGGCAAGAGAGAACAGAGCAGTAACACTGAGACTATGAGACACAGCAGTAAATGGTTTTCCTGGCCCATGAGGGCAGAGGCTAAGGGACCAAGAAGTTGGCAGGCCGAGGACAAGCGAGAAAGGTGACTGCTTGACAGGATGAAGAGAGGTATCCGTGTGACCAATGACTGTATCCTTAGTATTTTCTAATCCTGGCTTGTGATAACGTATTAACTTCCCCAAGGAAACAAACAAACAAACAAACAAACCCAAAACCCATAATTATGAGCACTGTCTGAGTTCTGTGTGGTCACGGCAATGGATTATCAAACCCAGCATAGAAGTAGAGTGCTAAGGGAGAAATGAGTGGTGTTGACTAGGTAAAGAAAGATGGAGGGTGGAGTCAAGTCTGACCCCTCCCTCATAGCAATAGGTACGTCAAGAGGAGGTTAGATATGACTCTCATACTGTTAAGTACTAACACAGGTCTTCCATGAAAGCTAATTGGTGCTAACTTTCAAAAAGGGAATGGGGAGGGGAATTCCTGTATATATAGGAGTTTAATACTAACAAAGCCAAAAATTTCACGTGTGTTCTTTGCTAAAATTTAAAAACCAAATTAGCCTCAAGCACCAATCTAGAAAATCTCCACTTTCACTATTCTCTACAGACTTATCCCGCTACCTACTCTGCCCTTAAACCAGTTCACACTTCAATTTCCAATTTAAACTTCTCAAAAAAAAAAAAAAAATTGAAAGGGTGATCTCAAATACTGGTTTACTGGTTCCATCTATGTCTACCATACATTTTGGATAACTCTAGGCACCATGAGAACTTCTTACGGAAATCACACTGCTCTGTTTGTTAACTTAGTATCTTTTAAAACTATTATTAATACACTTACAATAGGTACAGTGGTTAAGCTCATGGCTGCTAAATAAAAGGTCAGTGGTTTAAACCCACCTAGCAATATGCTATTGCAAATACTTCGCCTAGGAAACCTTTGTCATACCAGGGGGTGGCAAAAAGTTCATAGAAAAAAATGGAATGAAATGATTATTCTATTTTTCCACATTTAAAAAAAATCTCCCTCTTGTAGGTTAACACGAGTCAGAACTTCCTCACAGATTTTTTTTTTTGGTATTTAAATGGTTCACCTGTTACTATTTATTTGTATACCTTTTTGTTGTTGCTCCTGTGACCAAGGCATTTAACTACTATACTCATTCTGGAGATCCGCTTTTCTCCTTTCCTAGGGTTGTCTCATCTATTATTATCATTATAAATTGTAGACGATTGTAGCTCTCCACTTCAACTGCACACTCCTATCTTGGTCTACCTCACTACTGGCGTCCCACTTCGTTTTCTTCTGAATCTGTGGGGGAGGGAAGTGTGCAATGCTTACCACAATCACGTTGTTCTGTCTCATACAAATTGCTGAGTTCATTCTAAACCCTAGATCTATTCTTAATAAATATGTGCTCTTGGACAAGTAATCTTGACTAAGGGTAGACTCAGATAACAAGGAAGAGAAACAGCGTGGAAAAGCTGATCCACAGATGGCACACAATAACTACGAGTCAGAGGGATCCAGGTAGCTTACAACATTCTGAATCAGCACTGAGGGTTTCTGCAGGAAGAGATTCATCCCTCTCTCCCTGTTCCATCGGAGCAGCAGTAATATGCAAGACTGACATTTTAAAAGGACACTAAGCGAATACATTTTTGTGATGGCTAGATTTGTCAACTTGATGCACCTGTGTAAAGGTGTGGGTGAAATCCAACCCTCAATCAGGAGACAATCTAATGATATCTCCTTGGCGGTGTGGCCTTTCCATAAGCGGCACTGAGAACTTTTCCCTCCTGCTCCAGCTGGCATCTGACCCATGGACTTGAATTGGGCTGGGCTGTTTCCTTGATATACAGTTATTTCTTTACACACTATACACATGAGTGTGCCTGGTTTTGCTTCTCTAGAAAACTCAGCCTAAACCAGCTTTCTTAACTGCTATTTATACCTACTCATTATTCTTTTCTTTGCTATTAGCTTAGGGCGGGAGAAGGTAAA